TGGTCAGTCGGTGGACAACGCGCCCTCCCCCGTGCCCCCCCCAACGCCGCTCTTCTCTCGGTGCTCCAGGCACCTCCTCGTGACCATGATCTGCTCGCCGGGCCGGACGGACACACCACGGCTCACTCGCGACGCGGGCGGCGTAGGCGTCGACTTTGGGCTGCTCGCCGACGTGTGCGTCGGGCACAACGCGTACGACGTGACGCTCGACGCGTACTTCGACCAGGCGGCGTGGGCGGCGCTGCCCGCTCTGCCGCCGAGGGCGCTGCGAGGCGCCGGCCGGGGCTGGTGAGGCTGCTCGCGAGACTGGCCGAGGCTACCCGCGATTGTCCCCGAGAGTAGGAGCCGGCCGGCTGGTGAAGCTGGTCGCGAGCGAGGAGGGGGTGCTGCGCGCGGCGGTGCCGCCGCCCGCCGGGCCGCGGTCCTTTTTTTCTTTGTGAGGCGGCGGTGTTTCTCTTTTAGGCCCTCCCGCCCGCCGGGCTCGAGTCGCTCGTGCGCTGGGGCCCGGAGCCGAGTGAGCCCGGCGAGCCGGTGGCCCTCACGGTGGACAACAACTCGTGCGCCGGCTACGCGTGGCTCCTGCACGCCGACGAGGCGGTGGTGGCGGCCGATTGCGCGGCGCTGCACGAGCTGCAGGCTGCGGGGCGGTTGTTTGACGTCGACTCGGCGTCAGGCGCGGAGAGCTGACCCGCGCTGAGACTGCTCCGGTGAGTGTGTGTGTGTGTGTGTGTGTGTGTGTGTGTGTGTGTGTGTGTGTGTGTGTGTGTGTGTGTGTGTGTGTGTGTGTGTGTGTGTGTGTGTGTGTGTGTGTGTGTGTGTGTGTGTGTGTGTTTGTGTGTGTGTGTCTCGCAGGTGAGTAACTGCCCGGCTGGGACATCCCGGGCGGGACAAGTGTGTAGTAACCTAGTATCATAAGGATAAAGAGAGAGAGCGGATGAGATAAGCACCGGACTTGGCTCGAGGGACTTGGCGTCGTGCGCACATACTCCACGCACATAGAGCTGCCGCTTACAGATCACTTGTCAGAGTGCCATTTGCTTTACTGCGAAGATATCGACTTGATACCGCCGCGCGTGTCCATCGCAATTTCCGCAGAGCGCACACAGCATCGACCAGATTCATATACACCCGCTCTAACCCGAG